AAAAAAAAAAAAAAAAAAAAAAAAAAGAAAGACCGACCAACCTGTCTGTTTCACAGAAAAATATGCTAATGTACATGTCATCGCTTAACTACCACTAAGGACAAAAACAGTTACCCAAAATGGGTGTCAGATGAATAAAGTCTGTATGTGTTGGGAGTTACACTCCCACATGCTGCAGGCCATGCGCTGGGCTAACCACCCATCCTCCTGACCGCCCCCACACCTCACCCACCACAATAATATACAAAAACTGCGGTAAGAGAAAACTGAGCGGGGTGTGGGGGCACTCGCCTTTAATCCCAGCACTCAGGAGGCAGAGGCAGGCGGATCCCTGTGAGTTTGAGGCCAGACTCTCTACAAGTAAGAGTTCCTGGACAGAGATAGAGAAACCCTGTCTCAGGAAAGGGGGGGGGGGGCTGAATAGCCAAGCCAACCCCTCACTAAACTTTAAAGCATTCATGGACGACTCTCACTTCCAAACCCTGCAAAGGCAGACTTTAATAAAGAGCGTTCCTCTGTCCAAACACTTGTACAAGTCTGGGCCTTCGAAGGCCGCCTCAGGCCAGGCTGGTTCATCAGCTCCCTGCAAATGTCACCATGTTCATTCAGTTTTAGTATTGCAAGGAAAGTACCTCCCCAAACAGGCCGTTCTTCCTCTTGGCTGACAGAAGGGCATCTGCAGAGGATGACAGAATTTAAATGGTCGCAGGAGCTGTGGCAGATCCACTGCAGGCCTCAGTTTGCCCATGTGTGAGTAGACCAGTCTCCCCTTTTGTAAATGAACAGCTCGGCCCCATCGATGGAGGGGGGCAATGGAATGGGCGGGCAATGGTGAGTCCCCTCCTGAAACAGTCCACCAGGGCTACCGTCTCACACCTACACCACAACCCCCTTGCCAACTACTCTCCTCCTTACCGCCAGAGCCACCTCACCGCCCCTCCCCCATGCGGAGGTGCGCAGTGAGTGTGTGTGCGTGAGTGTGTGTGCTTGAGTGTGTGTGCACACGCGGGTGCCAGGAGTTGACTTCCTCAATCCCTCTCCATCTTCTCCACTGAGGGAGGCCAGGCTCTCTCAACTCGACTCACATCTCACGGATTCAAGGTTATTCAGCTAGCCGGCTTGCTCTGAGCACTCCAGCTCTGGTCTAGGGTGACAGAATACGAGACAGGATCATGGGCCAGACCCTTACAGGCAAGTTCTTTATCCTGTGAGCCATCTCCCCAGCCCCAACGATCTCGTCAACTAAACAAGAGCGGACAGGGCTGTGTCTTCATGTGTGGCCTGTATGGTTTCTCTAGGTTCTGTAGGACTCTGTCACAAGCACTGGGTAACAGTGACATGTACAAAGGATTTAAAAAAAAAAAAAAAAAAAAAGGCAAGAAACAGTTATAGGGAATATAAACCTTAGGTTTCTTTCACTACCCAGAATTTTACATTTCTACTGTGAACCCAGTAAAGTAATTTTTAACATAAGACTTACGAATTTCAAGCAGGGGGCTGGAGAGATGGTTCAGTGGTTAGAGCACTGGCTGCTCTTTTAGAGGACCGGGGTTTGATTCCCAGCACCCACATGGCAGCTCTCAACCACTGCTGACTCACACCCCAGGAGATCCTGACCCCCTCTTCTGACCTCTGAGGAAAGAATTTCACAAGCAGTGTGCAGAACCCTCACACTACCGAACCCCAACCCTGCATACAGGCAAAATACCCAGGCATGTAAAATTTTATTTTAAAAATAAATTAGAGAAAAAATTCCAAATTGGGTGGAGTGGTTCACACCTATAATCCAGGACTCAGGGGGCCAGGACTGGAGGTTTACTGAGAATCTGAGACCAGGTTGAGCAACCCAGCAAAACTCTGTGTTTATAAATAAATAAATAAAAACCTCCCCTCAACAAAAGAAAAGGAACAACAACAAAAACCTGGAGAAACACTGTTCTCCACCCTCTTCTCCTGTCCCCCTGTAACTTGAACTGCTTACTCACTGATTACTAAACACTCCTTTCCTCATTAGGAAAAACATTGTTCTCGCTCACACCGTCATTTAAGAAAGCACTTCTCATTAGTTATTAAATCACGGGCAGTGATAAGCCCAGTAAGCAGGCACCTGGCTAGCATGCACCAGGTTGGCAGTGACGGACCGAGTACCACCACCCAGGCGTCATTCCCGTCCTTAGGGTGAGCTGACAGCCAGCCACCAGTGTAGCTGGAGCCCAAGGGTCACGATCACTATCTACTGACACCTGCAGGCCACTGCAGAGGTCCCAGGATGCCAAGGAGAAGTGTGCGTTTTATCCCTTCAACATGGTCATACAAGCCTTGGCCAATGAAGAGAAAAGGAGACTGGGCCAAGTTCACACACAGTGGGCAATCCTGCCAGCCGCGCCACCAGCAGGGACTGTGTCTAGAGAGTGGGTGACTTATGGGGGACCCCGGAGCTCCCCGGCCTGCTTGGTTCCTGGCATCTCAGCTTGCTGGTATCACAGTGAGGTCTCTCACTTTGGTCCAGCATTCCTTCTCTGCAGGCTGCTCACAGGACAGTGACTCTCTCCAGGACTGTCACATCTGTCTTGACTGAGCAGCTGGAGATCCGGTGACACGCTGTGCCGAATCATAGGCACCTTAAACCCAGCCCTCCTCCAGTTAAGACTGGGCCACTGCCGCAACAGGAACGTGTTTCCGGATTATTGGAACTGTGCTTCCAGGGAGGAGAGGACACACACTCACCGGCCTTCTGAAAGCTACAGAATTCACCGGCCCGAAGTGGTATAAATAGTAACTGGCGAGAAACTTCCACAGCTTCCCTGCCTGCCAGGTGCGCACCCAGGTCCAGGGGGCGACTTCTTCATGCCTGACATTTGTGAATGATGCAGCTAGCGGCCCGAATCACTCCTGCTCCTCCTACACCTTACAAACTCACGGGTCCACCAAGCAAGGACCGTTTCTCTGGTCTGCTCTCGGTGCCTTTTGTGGCGTCAACAGACATTGTCCACACCTCCCCAGGAGAAATCAAGAACCAACCAAAGGTGGGCGGGGACATGATGGCACACTTACAATCCCAGGTGCTTAAGAGTCCTTCAAAGCCAGCCTAGACTAGAGATGAAGACCCTGCCTCAAAATAAAAAGTACAATGCTGGGAATACAACGCGAGAGTAGAGTGCGTGGGCGGGATCTTCCAAACCCACTTTTGACCACTGATAACACATGAAAAAAGTCAGAACTAGATGAACTAACTCGAGACCCAAATGCAAGACTGGCCGTAGAGACCCTCTTGAAAGTCAGCAACTCCGCCTTTTAACACACCACCAGGTCGCGGCCCCAAGACTCCCACCACAGCCACGGCACCACCCACTCACTTTGCTGGTGTACTTGGCAATGTCGGCGGCCACGTCGGCGGAGGCGGTGGCGATGGGGAGGTCGGCACTGATAGCGGACGCCAGGGTGCTTGCCGAGCCAGAACTGCTGACCAGGGCTGCCGGCTGAGTGCTGGTCACCAGCGTGATGGTGGAGGTGGACGGGCTCTGCGTGACCTCCTTCTGCTGCACGGCTGAGGAAGCAAAGGGGTCCGGTCACCCTAGCCATGTGAGGAAGCGCGGCCCAGCACGCAGCTGGGCGCAGAAAGGGAACTCTTCACGTAACCAGAGCCAGCTTCCGAGCTCTGAGCGACAGTGTCTCACCTGGGCCACGCTGGAGCCAGGCTCCTCTGAACTCTTCTCCAGCAGACCCTAACCCTGGACTGCCCAGACTGGGGCAAATGCCAACATCTCTAAGAGTTCAAGGTGATACAGTTTAGGTGACTTGATCCAGCCTTGAAGAGCCAGGTTAGTAAAAAACGCTTACAGGTGGACACAGCCCACATCTGAAGATGTGGGCCACCGTCTCCTCACCTCTATGAGAAGAGCGTGACCGTTCATCAGCAAAACTAGACAGCGTCACACACAGGCCCTTTGGCTCCCATTCCAATGTTTAATTTTCCTTTCTCTCAGCCATCCCCTTCTACTTTCAGAAACACCAGCAACCCCTGTACAAGTCGCACTAGGCTCCTTTCCCAGGTGGCGTAGTACCGATGTTCTACTAATTAAAAGCACTTCCGACCACTTTCACTGAAAGGGACAATAGTCCACCACTCACTAAAATCTCAGTCCTTGACATTTTTGGAGTTTTACAGTACTGGGAACTGAACCCAGGGCCTTATGCATGCTGGGCAAGCATTCTAAGACTGAACTGGACCCGTGACCCAACAACTTCAAAAGTCCAACAGCACAGTACTCATTAAAATCAACACCTACCACTTTAATTGGTGGCAAAACAGTATCACGGCTCATTAAAGTCAGTCCTTGCCACTGTGGCTAGAAATGCAGCATGCTATGAGTGATTAAAACCAATGCTTAGCCATTTTAATGAAGGGCGGGGGAGTGCAGGAGGGCTTCACTGGTCAAAGTCTGGCCTGTGGTGAGTAATGCTGCTTGAATCAGTCCCAGAGACTTTACGGTATAGCAGTGCATTACCAATTAAAACCAGCCCTTACCAGTTGAACTAAACTTTACCATCCTCACACAGGACTCGCTATCTGAAAGCTGAGGACTCTACTGCCACCAGGTCCGGATGCTATACCCACCTACCCCACCCACAGGGACAGCTCTATGGAGACAGAATCCAACAGGAGGTAGTCCTAATCTCAGCCCGGCTCCACTACCTTCTGCGCTGAGCATCAACCCCGCTCATTCTTGACCTGTCCAGTTCTTCAGGCCCCCTCCCTGCAGGTGTCCCTGGGACGGGCCTCACACCAGCTCTATGGAGTTTCCTCACCGGGGCGAGCTCTGATGGAGGGAGCACTGGGGGAAGGGTGGATGTGGAGGAAGGGCCTTTCCCCCAAGGAACCAGGCCCAGATTACCGCTCCCCAATCTGGGTACACTGATGTCGTCCAGACCCACACTTGGGCTGAGCCCATCAGCTGTAGGTCAGGGACAGGCCTCCAGCAGCGAGGGCAGAGTTGATCGTGTAGCTACACCGCCCGGTGACAATGTGGCTGCCTCATCTTCCACATGGGACGGAGCACTAGTTTTTAAAGGAATCATCGTCACCTGCCACTCCTCATACTCCATAAACTTTCCCTCATGCTCACAAGGCGTATTACACAAAGATCTACTCATCGCAGCATGCTAACAGGAGGGGAAAAACTGAAAGCACTCTAACGTCCCCTAGCAGGGGAATGTTTTAAACAAATTAGGAAACACTATGCAGCAGTCCAAAAGAATAAGACACAGACAGACCTCTAAAACATGCTGATGGGTGGGAGGAAAAAAAAAAAAAAAATCAAGAATGGTACCATTTTTGTGTAAAAAAGAAAAAAAAAAGAAAAAGAAAAAAGTAATATTTTTATGGTATAATAGTATATGGTATAAAAACATATGTATATGCATGCACTGGGGAAGGCTTTTCACAACAATTACTCATAATTGTCACAGAAGGGTGAACATGGACATGGACAGTGAATGGGCCCACATTTAACATTCAAAGTTCTACAAACATACTCTGTCCCTTCTGTAAGGAGGGGACTTGTGTATCATTTATAAAATGAAAAAAAAAATCTTAAAACAAAAAATTCAAGTGAATAGTAAACAGCAAGCCAGTTTTTTAAAAAAATAACACCACATGGGATGGGTAAGGCCCGCAATGACCATGACACACACAGGAATGGGGGGAAAAATTAAACAGGGGTGGCTTTATCTCCTGTCGATGTGGCAAAAAGGGCATGGGCGCCACAGAGAACAGAAGGGCAGGTACCTTTCACGGCCTGTCTGGTCTGATATCTTGTCCCCTGGGAAGAGTGAGGCTGCTGCTGCTGCTGCTGTTGCTGCTGCTGCTGCTGCTGTTGCTGCTGCTGCTGCTGACGCTGTATCTTCTGCATGTGCCACTTTTGGGAGGACGTTTGAAACTTACTTGATGAGTTCCACACGACCCGCTGCACGGCTGGAGCAGTCTCCTTCGGTAACAGCAGCCTCTGCTTCTTCACCGGGCTTCCTGTGGCGGCGGCGGCGGCGGCGGCAGTGGCCGGTGCTGTGACCGTGACGGTAGACATCGTGCTGGTGGTGGCGGCCACGGTGACCCCAGTCGCGGGAGCTTGGGTGGCTGAGCGGGTGAGCACCGGCGTCTCTGGGGGAGACTGGTTGCCAGCCACGGTAGACGGTGGCGGTTTACCTATAGCTACAGCCAGACCGGCGTGGAAACAAGCAGAAGCTGGGTTGGACTCATGAGCAGAGACTTCAGACCACTGGCCAGTTCTGGGTCAAACCCAGCGGAGGCGGACCGCTCAAAGAATTCAGAATGGCCTGGAGGCCCAAGGACAAGCACAGCCTCTGCCACAGCTGAGTTATGCCTTACTGAGAGCAAGCTCACACCCCACCTCACACCATGGCAAGACTTCTAGAAGCAAAGAGGGCAAGACCCACCCCCTGTGGAGCAGCCATAACCGATGGCACAGCTGGGGATGATGGGGACCAGTCCAGGAGCAGCCCTACAGAGAGGAGAGAAACCCTTGGGCTACAAAGCCAACAGGGTGTGGACTCCAAGACTAGATAGCCCTGCTCTGATCGTCTAGGGTGTACCGAAGTCTCTGGGAGGGGCTGCCTAGACATTAACAAAGGAATTCAGCCTCAGGCCTGAGAACCTTCCCCCAACACACTCAACCTGGACTTCGTGCCCTTCAAACAGCCCAACTTCAGCTTGCATTCTAGGTGTTTCTGCCAGGGCCCTTCATGGCTAGCACACAATACCAGACTTCCTATCATGTAATAGTTTAAGTCTTTTTTGTTTGTTTGTTTGTTTTTCGAGACAGGGTTTCTCTGCGTAGTTGTGGTGCCTGGATCTCGCTCTGTAGACCAGGCTGGCCTCGATCCTCCTGGCTCTGCCTTCTCGGTGCTGGGATTAAAGGTGTGTGCCACCACCGCCCAGCCTTAATTTTTTTTTAAAGTTGTCTTAAAAGCATTATGCCGGGGTTGGGGATTTAGCTCAGTGGTAGAGCGCTTGCCTAGCAAGGGCAAGGCCCTGGGTTCGGTCCTCGGCTCCAGGAAAAAAAAAGCATTATGCTAAGGGCTGGGTGGGGACACTAACCAAGGGGGTGATGACAGCTTGTACTATACCCCACACAGGTGCTCAGAAAACACACACCAAACACGGATACAAGGGGGCTTTGCCATCATGGACCACACTCCTTGGCATTTCATGAAGCTTGCCCTTTTAGATTCAGATCACCCGAAAAACACATAGGTTATTCCAGACAGGATTCTGAGCAAGCTTTCGGTTACAGGATGTCACGGAAGAGAAGAGCTGCTGCCCCTCTGAGGTGACAGTTTCCTGTCTAGTGAGCACCCAGCTCCTCTGGAGACCAGCATTCAGTGAGGCTGGTGAGGAAAGTGCAGGGAGGCAGAGCGGGCTGGTCCTCTTGGCTGGCCTGACAGACACTAGACACAGCTCGGCTGTCCGAGGTTCAGAAGCAGCTCTAAATCGGCCATTCCACCAGCAAGACAGCTGTGGTGTCCAGCAAGGGCTCTAACCTGCAGAAATGGCTGGGGGACTCGGGTTCCGGTCAGTGACATATGTATGTCATTATCACTGCTGACTAGCTAGCCTGGCCACTTTTAGGGGCTCAAAAAGGTCAGTTCCTCTCTCCTGACTGGTTTTCTGAGGTGCATCGACTAGGAGGTGATCTTTCCCCAAAGGAAAACAGTAGCAGAGAAAGAAAAGTCTGCTGGCAGCGTTTCCTCAGGCTAGGGGCTGGGATTACCAAGGGTGTGGGGGAAATTTCTTCAATGGGACAAATTCCAGAAATTTCTTCAATGGGGAGAATTCCGGTGTTTGGGGTGGGGTATTTGCAAAGCTCTGGGAAATTCATTTGTCCGACAGAATCCAGACTATATAACTAATCACTGTAAAGAAACACAAATTGCCTACAAGTCCCATTAAATTAATAAGACAGAGGTCAGAGTTTTGCATTTCTAAGAACTAACTAACAGCCCTTTGAGGATGGAAATGCCACAGCGATGGGTAGTCAGGAAGTTCCCTGAGTGCAAAGGCTGTGTCTGCACCTTCATTTAGCACTGAATTCTGGGCTGAAGAGTGGCCATACACCACAAAGCCTTCCTTCACTTCAGGACAGACCAAAGGGAACATGGCTGTAGACACGTTAGCAGTGCCGCCTCTCAGAAAGAGGATTCTCCGTCCGTCCGTCCGTCCGTCCGTCTGTCCATCCATCCGCCCATCCATCCATCCATCCATCCATCCATCCATCGCGGGCACTCCGGTTTATAAAAGTAAGTTTGACTCAAGCCTTGGAAAGCGGCTCTGATTGTGTTGTGTTCTAGAACCATCTTTAACTCAACCTTCTACCATCCAATAAGGGTTTTCTGGGTCTACAGAAGTTTCCTTCAGACACCAAAACCAGGAATAGCTCTGCTAGACGGCTTCTGATTTTTTAAAAGCATGGACGCTGTTAAGGAACTAAGCTTTCCTTCTCGCTTTCACTGCTAGGAAGCTCACAACCAAAAGGAAACTCTTGTTCATGACTCCCCCAAAGTTGGGATAGCGTGTTTTGTTTGAGACAGGGTCTGATGTAGCCGAGGGTGGCCTTGAACTCCTTAAGTCTCCTGCCTCTACCTCCAAGTGCTGGGATTAAAACTTTGCATCACCATAGCTACCTTAGTACATATTTGTATATAAAACTTTTCCCCAACGCCAAGGCAGAAGGCAAGTCAATCAAAAGATGTGCTTCAGAGGCTGGCAAGGTGACCCAGTAGGTTAAGAAAATTGCCACCATGAATAATGGCATGAGTTGTCCTTTGAACCACACATACATATGTAAGAACATGCACGCATGTGTGCGTGCGCGCGAGCACACACTCACACACATGCACACTCATGCACACACACACAAATCCTGTTTCAGAGGGAATGGGAGATTCTAAGTGTCACAGTCCTCATATGGAGGAAAAGTTTCACCTACTGAGCAGTAAAAGGTATGCTCTCTACTTCCTCTGCACCCCAGACAGACTTCTGAGGCCTTCAACAGGCCTAAGCAACAGCTCTGCCCTCTCCACCTCACCCCTCCCCACCACGGGTATCTCATTCCCTTCTCCTTGGTCACAGAAATCTGTCTCTATTAAGAGCCGAGGTTCCAGACTGCCCAGCTGGGTACCCCACAGAGAAAAGGTTCTCAAGGCACAGCAAGGCAGCTAGGACTTGCTCTACACCCCCAGGCTAGAAGACTGTGGGGGGCACAGATTCATTCCTTCCCCCCCGGGTTACGATGAGAAATTGGCTCCTGTCAGAAATCAAGCCCACTCCCAACTGACACCTAGCTGTCCCTCACCAAGTACACCCAGCTTGACGGCCACCCATTCACGTGTACTTAAGTGATGTCATTCCTGGGTCCTAGCTGGATGATGCTGTTGGGAATCCTCTGGCCACCCACCTGCTCAGTCAGAAACTGGCTCTTACTCAGCCCCTTCTGGGGAGGTGGCCAAAATGGCCACTGCAGAGGGTGCTGGCCTACGCTGCTCATCCCAACAGCAACAAGCCTGAAGATACAGGCGGGGTCCTCAGGCCAGAAGGTTTTGCCCACTAGGGAAAAGACATGTTTGATGGGCGAGTGTTGCTGCCATCTAGTGGCTAAAGGCCAGAGTTGCACCTAGAGCACTTCACTACAAGGGACAAAGAATCACAGAGAATTCCAGCGTCTGGGTACATTCATGCCCAGTGTGTTGACTGGGGACTCTTCCGTTTTCAATGCTCCAAGAAGTCTTGGGCCACCCTAGTACCACAACCCCTAGTGAATTCCTCTCCTAGTAAGAAAATACATCTACCCATGCAGGGCATGAAGAGAAGAAACCGAATCTAGATCTTTCTACTGAGGGAGCCCTTGACCCCTGAGCCCCACCCAACTGTCTGAACGTTAAAAAGCAGCTAGCTGGAAGGGCACATAGCTGAGTGGAAGAGTGCCTGCCTGGTTATAAGGCCATGGGTTCAAACACCAGCACCCATAAATCCGCTGTAATGGTAAATGCCTATAATCCTGTCACATGGAAGGTGGAGGCCGGAGGATCCAAAGTCAAGGTCAAGCTCAAGATCATCCTTGGCCATAGAATTCAAGGACAAACTTAACTATGCAAAACCTTAAGCAAGCAGACCTAAGGCTGAAACAAACTTCACAAGAAGTGGCTGGAATGACTGTGGGACTTACTTTCTCTGTGTTGAGATCACTCAGGCCCACGTGCAGATCATTTCTCCAGGTGTACCAGCTGGGGACTGAGACCCTCCCTGTCACACTGGGCTTCACAACCACACACACTCAAAGTGTAATATAGCTCAGTGGTAGAGCACTTGCCTACCACACACAAGGTCCTGAGTGTGACCCTCAGTGTGACCAAACAACAGTCCAAAGCTGCAGGCTGTATATGCGACTTACCATCCTGCTTAGGTGATGGCACCTTGGGCTCCTTCTTGTTTTTGCGACCCTCCCGCCCAGAAGGATCTTCTCCTAAGTCTATGACAAGTTCACTCTCCGAATCAGAGTCCAAGCCCAAATGCACTGTGGGAGAATCCGTCTCATCTTTTCCCTTCAGTTTGTCCTTTGTAGGGTGAGGCGACGGCTTGGCTTTCTCTGCTGAGTCCTTCTCGGGCTCGGGGCTGGCCTTGCCCTTGGCGGGGGCAGGCTCTGCCTTCTCGGCGGCCGGGGAGTTGCTTTCCGCCTCCTCTTTCACCTCCACCGGGTTTGCGGGCTTGGGCTTTTTTTTAGCGGCGGGGGCCTCTTTGTCCACCCGACTCCCCTCTTTGTCTTCGGGGTCCTCCGGCTCATTCTTGGGCTTCTGTTCCTCATCGCTGACATACTCACTGTCGCTGCTCTCCGACTTTTCGGAATCCTCCGAATCGCTGTGCTCCACGGCTGTGTAAACATCCTCCGAGATCTCATTTATGCCTAAGAGCAAAAAGGAAACACGGCTTAGCCGTGCGAGAAAGACGGGAGGGAAACACGCTCCTATTTCAACACCATCATCATCATCATCATCATCATCATCATCATCATCATCGTGGTGGGGACAGCAAGGAAGAGGACTTGGGGGTGATCAAGGTTCAGAGAAAGCAGGGAGGACCCACGGACTGCCAGGTTTAAGTTAAGTCTGCTACGCTGACTGATGCGGAGATTGGACAGGGCCATTAAAACAAGGGCCCAGAGGAGCCAAGTGTCTACGCACCAACAAAATCCACTGGGAACCCAACAAGAAGCCTGGGCTCTGGACTCAACACCCCTCCCAACTGTGAACAGGCTTCTTTCTGCCTGTGTCTAGGGCTCCAGAAGGCCAGAGCCTTGGCATGGCGGCCACTGCTCAGCCCTATGCGCATCTACCCTCACACTTCCCATCTGGACAGCACTGGCTTACCTGTATGCATTGCCTTTTCACCTTTTTTTTTTTTTTTTTAAATGAGAATTCTCTACCCAAGTTACAAGTAAAGAATCTCCGCATCGGCCTCCGTGGGATGCTGCTCTGGCAGCATCACGCAGCAGACCGGCAAAGGCGGAATCTGCTGCACCCGTAGGTGGAGGCAGGTCTCCAGACAACCTGTGCCCAGCCTGTGCCCAGCCTTTCAGCTGGCTCTGGGTGCTGCTGCAGAAGCCCAAGTGCTCAGGTGAATGCCACGGCCTTCCACTCACAAACGGGGCAAGAGGGAACCACACCCGCGTTTGTCCATCAACGGACACAAGACAGCAGGCGTCCCACACACATGATGTACGCTTCCAGCTCAGGCAGCAGGTAAATCATAACAAAGAAACCCAAAAGAATGAAAACCCAACTAATTCTCCATACCACCTTCACTCCAGGGCAATGGCCTGGTCTCTGCCATGATCTGGACACATCAAAGAGAATCTCAGGAAGGGCAAGAGCCATGCAGAGCCAAGACACAGGTCAGCAGAATCACTGGGGAATGGTAGCTGCCTCCCCCAGGGTCTAACAACCACACAAATACGAGGTCTGGAATGATAGTGCAGTCAGAGGCATGTGCCACTTTGGGCAAGCATCGGGCACAGGGGACAGAAGCTGTTATCTGTGAGATCTTGAGCAAATGACCCGCTCTTAAGCCTCAGAGTTTTCTTCTGTTAAAATGGAGCTGAGGATTATTATACAACTCCCAGAATAATACAGACACAGGGCTCAGCAGAGCGTAATGGGTCCAGGAGGGGGCTGGTAAATGAAGTAGGAAAATTCTTACTCGCAATAATAGAGCATTATGGAAGGGCTGCAAGAGACACCAAAATGGCTGACCTCAGCCCCTGTCACTCAGTGTCCAAATGGGGCAGGGACCCTAACAAGGAGAGCCATGGTGCTGGCAGGAGACTCCTTAACAGGGACCCTTGTGCCACGTCACTATTGAAACAGTGGTCCCCGGGAAACTGTCATTTCCCCAGCAACTCATGAAGGGAAGGCCGGTGCCTGGTACCAACCAGAGGCACTTGTCTGTGGGAGAGAGATTTCACACTGTTCTGACAACATGTCAGCGCATCTCACAAGAGCGGAGACAGAGACGGGTCACTGACGACCAGGACCGTATCTTGATCAGAATTGCTTAGGTATACAAACCTCCTATCAGGACCCCTTTATTTCTTCCTCTTCCCGATGCAGCCACAGTAATGTTTCATTATTACCCATTTCTTAATTGACCCGTGGAAGACAGTGGCCAAGACTCTCAGAGTCAGAGCTTTGAGCCTAAAAAGCCTAGAACTTGACGATATCCTCAGTCATCCCCAGAAAACCCTAATTACAACTCCCTCCTCACTTAAGGATCCAGGGCACCCACTGACACTAAAGACCTCACCTCAGGATGACCCTTGCTCCTGGGGTCCCTACCATCCATCACTTCTTCCTCAGTCTCCCTGGATTAATTTAGTACCTAGCCAGTATTCCAGAACATATGCCATGTGGATAAAAACCAGCTTCCATGGAGAAGGCAAATCCCTGTAAGATGGCCACTATTTAGAGGCTTCCACAGAGGCTAGGGCCCACCACCCAAGGTCCCCTCTTTCCTTGGGCCAAGAAAGAAGTAAAGGAGGCCAGCCAACAGAAAAGCAATCAGAGAGAGACTTCCAGAAGGGGGTGGTGGGGTGGGTAGCTGGCTACACCTGCAGGGGAGGTTGGGGCTGTGTAAGACCCATTCAAGAACAATGCTGTGACATCACTGGGTTTGGAGAGAAGCCAGGCAAGGTTGGAACACTGGTACTTTTACATTTGCACCTGAAGTTCTCAGGCTACCTCAGCCGGAGAATACCCTCCGCTAAATTCAAAAGGCCCTTCTGGAAATAATTCCGGAGTAGAGATGCAGCGCGTTCTAACTAGCCGGGCAGCCGGAGGTGAGATCACAGCCAGCCACGCCCTCTTCTCCAGGTGCATCTCCAGCGCGGTCCCCAGGGCGCAGGCAGTCAGGGCACGCACCTAGCTGTGCTTTGCAACTCTCAATGGTCTTGTCCAGGTTGAGCTGGAACCGGCTTCGAATCTGCCGCTTGGGAGAGATGAGAGGGACGGGGGCCGCCTGCTGCTGGACCGACTCGCTCAGCTCCTTCAGGTCCATCTCGGCTTTGCTTCGATCTGGAAGACACCACCACATCCTCGTCAGAACAGGCATGAGGGGGGCCAGCAGACACCACCCACCACTCAGGTGAGCAGGATGTTAAGCACGTGTTCAATCATCCAACCACGACAGACTGACTATCCAGCTGCCCGGAGACCAGGGTAACAGGAAACACATGGCCGGCTTACTTCCCCGACAGAACAATTGTATAGAAAATGCCTATCCCAGCTGGAGATAACATTTGTGGCGCTCAGCTGCATTGAGAAAGCCGCTAATAATCTATCCAACCCCAGACAATAGGGAAACAGGGTATGGAGGGAGACAGCTGCCCTCTAGCAAGAGGCATGGCACCCCCAGAGGCCACCCTGAGCACGGATCCCTGGGTCTTTCATTTCCAGGCCAGCCTGGCTGAGGCTTGAACAACAAAGACAGGAATTAGGGGACGGGTCCTTTCTAGCTCGGTTGTTAGCACCCAGGGCAGGCGGGGAGAGGCAGAGGATGACGCCTGTGGTACTGACCTGGGCCCAAAGGTCTTCTCAAGTAAGAACCCAAGTTCCTCGGCCTGACACTCAGCTCTCAAGTGCCCTGGCTACCTCTGCCAAGGGCTGGCTGTACGACCAGCTAGACCAGATTTCTAAGGGCCGGTGAGTTCACTGTTTGAATTGTTTCCTCCTCTCCTCAGTGTCCCACACTACGGAAGAGGAGAGGAGGAAAGGAAGGCGGCCGTGGAGGTCCAGAATGGAGGGGAGATCTGCGGGTGGAGCTAACTGTCATTCAGGTGGCCTGCTCCCCACAACATGCCCTCCAGCTGATTCCAAACGTGGGTCAGGATCCTCAGTGACAGAGACGCCCCTTCTGAGCCAGCTCCCACTGTATCTACATTCCCTCCTCCATGCTACCACAGGGTAGCGCAGGGTCCCCACTGCTATTACAGAGGTCATCCAGAAGTGACCTGAGAGCTGGATGGGAAGAGCGGTCAAGGCATTCACCTCCCTGGTTCTGCCCTGAGCCATACGCCTTTCCCAGGGCACAGCATTCTCTAACACCAAAACAGTTCCCCAAAGCCCCTGCCAACCCACACACAGACAGAGGCGCCAAACAGCCCCAGCCCCTGTGTCGGCCCCACTGGGAGAGGATGCCCCCAAACACAAGAGACCACAGACACACACACATGCACTTCCCTTCCTGAGGGGAGGGAAGGAATGTTCACAGCAAGTGGAGACGCCACCTTTGTAAGAAAGACAAGCGGCCCCGATGGTCTACGTGTGCACACCTGTTCACGTGTGCATCCAGGATGAGCCGGAATAGTCTGGAAGGATCTGGAAGGAGCAAGTCCCACCCGCAGGTCCCCCCTTGCTTTCTGGCCCTAGCATCCATCTCTATGGCCTCCTCTGCACGCGTTCCCATGAGCACACAGGGCATGCTTGGGGGCTTTCGGGGATGGGGAGTGGACCAGAGAACAAAATGAAAACCCATCCCTACACCCACCTTTGTCCCCAAGCATCTGAAGCACTGCCTCAGGTGGCTTGGAGGAGGGCCGGGCACTCGGGCCGCTGAAGGTGGGACCCAAATACCAGACCTAGCCTCTCTGTGAGTAAAGGAAACCCAGTTTGCCTTAAGTGCTGTGAGCCTATGTCACAGGCAAGGAGACAGAGCTGGCCTGACATGTAAATAATACACATGTCTGTGAGTAGACATTCTCCTTAACTTTACCCTGAAGCACGTGGATTGATTGCCATGAGTTCAAGACCAGCCTGACCTACATAGCAAACAGGGCAGCCTGGGCTACTGTGTATGCCCATGTCTCAAAGACTAAACTCTGTAATACTATAATCCAAAGTCATCCCCCATTTTACAAAATTAGGCTTCTCTGGCCAACAACCTATTATTCTGTTTATCCAAACTATTTTTATTCATCTCAATGCATGAGGGCTGGGATCAGGTCTAAGAACAGACTTCTGGGGACTTAAGCCAAACATAATCTGTCCTGGAGTGCTGGCTAGATTTGGACTCTCCACTCCTCTGTGGGGAGAAAGCGTCACAAGCAGTCTCTTATCTCAGGGACATCTACCCCTGCCCTTCTCCGCCGGGAGCGACTCCAGCTCAGCTCCCCGCCTGCTGCCAGCGTTTTGAACATTTTAGCTGACATAAAGACAGCCCCAGCTATAAATGGAAACCGGGGAGGAAAAATAGCCACGCTCAAGACAGAAAGGCACACTCCTCCATTTCTGCAAGAGAGCACGAAGCCAAGCAACTTCACAGTGCAATCTGGCAACTGTCTCCGAACGTTAAGGCCACCAGGCCTCTGGCCCTCTCTGCATTTCCGTGGTTTGCCCTCCCACGCGGGCAGAAACGTCTTCATTTTCCACATCACTGGACAACAACCTCGTGTCCACAAGTAAGGACGGAGGCTCCAGATTCCCCACAAATGGGGTTAGGGTAAACATGAATGCTAACCCAGCAGGCGCAGATTCCTATGTTAGCATCAACAGACAACCTTTCTAAGAGAAGGAAACCGGGGGTACAGGCAGGGAGCCGTGGTGAGGGAGGAAGCGAGGGCATGGGAACGGGATACAGGCATGCCTGAGCTGCTCCGCATTGTTACTCATGACATGGGGCTCATGTGTCACAGTGGTGGGGTGTACCGGCTCAGGGTGAGTAAAAACCCCAGCCCCAGCCCCAGCCAGGGGTACCCACATCCTAGGGACCAGGCATTGCCAGGAATAAAACTCAGAACCAAAGGTATAGACACATACAGGACACGAACAGCGGGTGACAGTGTCACCTAGGGGACAGGGAACAGGAGGGATGCCAGCAGAACTACAACAATGTCCTTCCTTCCCAAGGCTGTCAGCAGCAGCACCAGAGGATAAGGACACACACGGCATTTCAAGAGTGCCAACCTGCTGCGCTGCTAATTCCCTCAGAGACAAGAACACGCAGGAGTCTAGAAGCAGGTTCAAGGCCTGCCTTGGGTATATAGTGAGTTCCAGGTCAGGCTGAGCTATATGACAACCTGCCTCAAAAAAACAGACCCAGCGAGAGAGCTCAACAGTGAAAGGCACCCGCCACCCAACCTAACAATCGGCGTTCCGGCCCTGGAACCTGAACGGTGAAAGAACTCTCAAAGCTATCCTCTGACCTCCACACAGGCACGAAAAAATGCATGAGAGAGGGAAGAAAGAGAGAAAGATGACAGAAGACAGAGAGAGATGCCGTTAATCCCAGCACTCAAGAGACAGAGGCAGGCAGAGTTCGAGGCCAGCCTAGTCTACATAGCAAGACCCTGCCTCAAAAAGGAAAGGGAAGAAACAGAGAAATAAAATAATCCACTCCAAATATGGAGTCAAACCCAGGCAGTTGCTGGTCTGCCTCGCATTTCTCTAATTTGGCTTTCTCTGCGTGCTGTTTTAAATAGAACCCTGCTTTGTTGGACAATAATCTCACCATCAGCCTCCAGGACTCTGAATCACGTGTCACATGGGCAGACAACTAATGCCGAGTCACCCAGCATTCCCCTCTGCCCTTCAGCCTTCCCACCCACACACAGTGCTCTCCTGGGTCCCCAGCAGAGCATCTCTCTGTGAGATAAAAATTCCATCCCAGGAACCCATCCACGTACCCAGTGTTCTCACCCCCACAGGCTGAGCTGAGACATGTACCCCAGAAGGAGTTATGAGGGAAGACAGGACAGAAATCATGGCTTCTCCAGAGCCACCTTCGAGCCACCCACGGCTGCACCCACCCATCAAGCCACACTTCAAAGGCCCACGGTGTCACGAGGATGCCCGGGGTGGGGGAGTGGGGGGGCCGGTTTACAGAAGGAACTGTTCTTGCCAGGCTTGATTGGCAAAGAGGAAATGTCACCGTGAGAATGCTCTGCTCAGTGCTTCTGTTCAGAGCGTGAAGGTGGGAGGCGGCCCCGAGAAAAGAAACCACATTTTCTAAAACAAATGTCCCCAAGATGGCAACTGGCTCCCTTCTGGATCAAGTGAGGGACCGGCTGGCGGTTCTGGGTGGAATCCTAGTAAGGACCTTGTCTGTCCAACTCCAGCCAGCGTGCACGTAGGTGATGTGGACGGAAGGGGACTGCCCCGGGGGCCCCCAGGCCTGTCACCCTGGGAACCCCAAACCACCTCTCCAGGTCTTTATGCCACCATCTACAACAGCACTGCAGGTGGCATGGGCCTGGATGGTACCATGAACTCACCCAATGCCTCACAGGTGGGCTCCCCCAGGGAAACGTTGCGTCCCAAGGTCTCCAGGGCATCACAAACCCCAGGAGATGCTTGCCCTTTGTGCCCTCCTGCCCCCTGCTCTTCCTTTTACTGACCCCTACCTGCTCCCGTGGCCCAGGGCCCTTGCTCCTTCTGAACACTCTAACCCCAGCTCTCAATCTCTGGACCCAGTGCAGCTAGGTCATTCGCTGTGCCAAGGGCCTCATAAGCACTGGATACTTCGCTGCACCTCCAGCCTCCGACCACAAGGTGGCAGCATTCAATTACTCAGTGAAATAGGAACTATAGGGCCATGTCAGACAACCTTACAGACCCCAGGAATCTCACCTTTTGCCCCTTGCTCCCCTGGGATGCATGCACGCCACCCTAGGCTGCATAGAAAATTAGCTGCAAGCTAGAAAAACTATGTGGGTATACCCTCTCACCATACACACTCTCTCTACCTAGGTCTGACCTCTCACAGTGCAAAGAAAAAATAGCCAATCGAAAGCCTGTGGGTATAAAAGGCAGGAAATCAGGAGATGAAAATTAACATTTAAAAAAAACAAGAAGCGCCGGGCAGTGGTGGCACATGCTTTTAATCCCAGCACTCGGGAGGCAGAGCCAGGTGGATCACTGTGAGTTCAAGGCCAGCCTAGTCTACAGAGTGAGATCCAGGATAGGCACCAAAACTACACAGAGAGATGGCTCAGGAGTTTAGAGCACTAGCTGTATTAACAGGTCCTGGTTCGGTTCCCAGCACTGACATGGCGACTTACAGGCATCTGTAGCTCTGGTTTCAGAGGATCTGGTGGCTTCTGGCCTCCACAGGCACTGGGCAAGCACAGTTGCTCACAGTAAATAGGGGAATTTAAGAAACTATCCGAATACCCATCCAGAAATGGCAAGACTCGTGAAACTTGCTTCAGTCACACTGGAGGAAACTGGTTTATGTGGATCACATGCAAGGACAGGCCCAGGATAATTTGTGAGAAAACACCTTTGCATGCCAACAAGCCTCAGGAAAACAAGCCTTCACCCTGCTCCTTCCTCTGGCGCACCCCTCACCTCCATCCACCAAAGCTCTTAGATCTTCAATGGCCAGAGCCACTCACAAGAGGACGTGCAGAAGCAGTCATTGCCACCAAACACGCACACACACACTTCTGAAAACGCCACTGACCCAGGTTGAGGTTCAGGATGCTCCCGGTGGTGGAGGTCTTGTCTGTCTTCGTCATGATGGGGGTCGGTGCTTGTGGAGAGAAAGGCTTCGGACTGCCAGACAGACTCCCTGCTTGGCCCGTCTTTGTGGAGGCCGGGGAAGCTGGAAAAGCATGTCACAGTTAGAAGCCGGCTCTACAAATCAGGAAACCAGCAAACCTCACAGGTTCGGGCTTGAGGACAGGAGAAAGGGCACGGGGTCTTCTCCAAGGGCATCTCGGTGTCCTGAACGGGATCCAGGAGGGAGAATGGCCATGAACTCAGCAAAGGGCTGTCACCAAATAAGAGGGCGGCCGGGCCAGGCAGCCTATCCAACACAAAGCTCTAAGACAAATGGCTGAGCTGCCACTGAAATCGCCTTGGCCCATTCACGGGCAAAGCAAACCCCTCCCACACCGAGACCACAGGTAAGGACCAGGCTTGCCAGAGGCAAGGGAGGCCGCGGGGCTGCTGGCACAGGCTGCATGTGCCTCTGGCCAGCCCCAACGGAGTTCCAGCTCCTGGCTCAAGGGTTCTCAGGCTGTACGAAAGCAAGCTGGGTACCAGATGCAGGGAAGAAGGGAGGTGTTGGCAAATTATCTTCTTCCTTGGTGAGGTTCAAACTCCAACAGGAAGTCAGAGCATGAGCCTCATATATGTGGCTCTTAAATTTTAAGACGATTTACCTTCACTGGCCAAACAAGCAGGGCAAAGGCCAAATGATCTATAAAGGGGCTAAGAGCTGCCTAAGGACCCGCCCATTCTGGACCTGTTATCCTCACACATCACTTCACATATTTTCGGGACCACCCAACATGGCTCCTGGGCCCTGAAAAGACAGTAAACTCATCATTGAGGTGAGACACTGTGTTGATCTGGTCCCCACAGGAAGACGTGAATGGCCTAAGATGGTAGGAAGCCAGACACCACCAGAGACTAGGAAAATGTAGGCTGAGTGTGGTGTTTCTGTAACCCCAGCAGTGAGGAGGCAGATGCAGGAAGAGCAGAAGTTCAAAGCCACCCAGCCTTGCACAGTGAGACCACATCTGAGGAAGAAGAAAACTCCCACACTTGGCTGGGTAGGTATGACTCCAATTCTGCACATCTGCCTGGGGGCGGGGCGGGGGTGTGTGTGTACACGTGAGTCCAGGTGTCCCCTGAGCCCATAAGGAGTCGGGTCACTCAGAACTGAAGGTGGACGAGGGTTGGGACTCAAACTCGCACCCTCAGCAAGTACAGGATGCACTCCTGACCACCAAGCAACCTCTCCAGCCCTGCAAAGAGCATGGGGAAGACTCAAAACTAGGGAGACCTGGACTCAATCAGAGGTGGGCATTTAGGGTTCAAATCCCAGCTCCTGCTGATTAGCTATGTGACTTTAGGCAAGGTGCCTGTATCTGCAGCTCCCTTGGAGAGAGGAACAGGGACATCCTGACACAGGGATGAGAAAAGTACCCACACCCATCAGGTTATAGTGAAGACTGAATCTAACCAGCAAATCACGTCTAGGGCACCGGCATCCAGGAGGTGTGGCATCAGCCCTTGCTCTTGGTGTTGACTTCCTATTTCCTTCCTAGACTTCGGTTTCTCCATGGAAACCAGTGGTCCTCAATCAGTCATCCCCGGCCATGACTAGGGACACGGGTTGCTACTGGTACGTAGTTGCAGAACCCAGGTGCCACTCAACATCCTGCAAGGGACAGGGAAATCCCCACTGTGAAGAATTATCATCTGGGAGCTAAGAAGTGGTTCAGCGGTCAAGACCCAGGTTCCATTACCATCACCCACATGGTGATCACAGCCATTTTTGATTCTAGTTCCAGGGGATCCAACTCTCTTCTGGCCTACGCAGGCAAGCACTAATCCACACCTCTATCTGTAACTCCAATTCTGCGACACCCTCTACTGGCTACCATGGGCAATGCATGCATATGGTGCACTTCCGTACCTACATACACACAAGCAAGATATTCCCATGCATAAAATTTTTTTAAAGATAAACCTTAAACATAAATAAGAAAGAAAGATTTAGCATCTGGTCTCAAATGTCGCTCCTGAGTTGAGAAACCTATGGAGCAAATGTGGAAACCTTTCCGGCCTCTGGAGATAGGACTGGAGTAACAGTCAGATGATGTCCACTGTCACTTGGCCAGTACTCAACAAGCATTAAAAATTATGTGAGAGTGAAGTTTTATGAATATGAAATCCATTTTACCACAGGGATTAGCAAACTGCCTGGCCTAGTAACCAGGCTGGCAGCCTTCCTTTCCCTGAGGACTGTTGCTGGGGAAATCACCATTACTTCCACAGCATTGGAACAGAAGTCAGAGTGCTCGTCACATAAAGAAATGGGCCGTGTGTACATGGATAAGCATGCTTGTGGGGCAGGACACATGTGTGCACATTTTGTGTACAAGTGTGTGGTGGCCAGAGTAGTTTTTTTATTGTGCCTTAGGTGCTGTCCAGAGTTTGCTTGCTTGTTTGTTTGAGACAGGGCATCTCATTAGCCTAGAACTCCCCTAAAGCAGGCTAAGCTGGCTGGTGGGAGGCTGAGGGACCCACCCCTGTCTCCTGACCAGCACTGGGATTACAAGCATGCGTGTATCACCAGGCCCGGCATTCTTACCTGGGTCCCAGGCATCAAATCAGGTCCCCATGCTCACAAGACAATCACTTTATTGAGACATCTTGCCAGCCTCAAGTGAGGCATTTTAAAACATGCATTACCAACAAAATTGCTACTACAAGGATGCTTTAAATAATTCATTCACTGCCATTTATGACAGCTAAAAAATATCCAGGGACTGTACTGCCCCTGAGCATTGAAGACCCAGGCTTCTCTAGCTGTGTTCTAAGCAAATAAGCATGTCTAACAGGGCTCTGCTTGGCCCTTCAGAGATGTGATGAGGAGGCCTGAGCAAGAAGGGAAACAGGAACTCAAAGCGACAGAAACCAGCAAAGGCACCACAGCTACACTATGTTTAAAAAGAAAAAATGGGGGCCAGCTACACGGCTCAGTGAATAAAGGTGCTTGCCACCAAGCCTTAGCATTAGAGTTCCCTTCAGTTCCTGGGTGGAACTGAACACATGGAACACATGGTGGAGGAAGACAGACAGACACACATGCAGGCAAAATACCCAGACAAACAAACAAACAAAATTTTTTTTAATGTTTTTAAAGTCAGCCTGGTCTATACAGCAAGTTCCAGGCCAATCAGGTTAACAGAGTGAGATCCTGACTCTGTTTCAAAAAAAGAAAAAGAAAAAAAATCACGTAAATGCAAAGCATGGTGAAGTTGCAGACAGCCCAGAGGATGCCACTCTGCTTGAGAAGAAAATCATAGGAAAAGCCATTGCTTTCTAGTTTTGTATATATATATTTCTGTGCACACTTGCCGTGGTGTGTATCACAAAAGAAGCAAGAGAGAGGACACGGCACAAGCATGCACACAAAATGAACCAGCACTTAAAGGCTGGATAGTCAGCATTAAAAATACATATATTTGAGGCTTCTGCTGTAGCAGCTATCTATCCGACCATACTGCATCCACGTATGCACCAAGAGCCAGCTGAGAAGATGCCCATGCTGCTCTAGTTCAGGGTTTGGGGACCTTCAGGTCACACGCTACTCATGGACCTGAGTAGCCCTTCCTTAACACAAAACACAAAGCAGCAAAGCTAGCATGCACCTCCACCCAGAAGGGCCAACATCTGGGCCAGCAAGATAGCCCAGACGGTAAAGGTGTTTGCCCCAAGCCTGATGACCTGAGCTCCTCCTGGGGCCTTCGTCGTCGTGGTAAAAATGACTCTAGCAAGATGTCCTCTGACCTCCACCCAAGCGCTGTAGTGGACACCCATGCGCGCATGCACACACACACACGCACACGCGCACGCATACACACACAAATATTCCAAGTGTGAATGCCATCTGGGGAGGCATTACACACCGGTGCACGTGAACAGAAGTACAGAGTGGGTCACGAAGAACCACGGCCCCTATCGTCTGTCAATCACACTCGGTTCCCTTCAGGACTGAAGGCCTGAAGTTGAACTTAATAGCATGTCGTGTAACTCCTCAGGAGAGCTGGCCATAGGAGGGAGGGGTAGGAGTGACTTAAGTATTTGTCATGGACAACTATTTTATGACAACTATTGATTTCACAATAAAACAGAGTTCATGAGAACACCTTCCCTTCTCCCTGACAGCAACCCCACCGTGGAATGCCGAGAGGACCAAAGCACCATTATTGGGAGGGGATTGCGGGCTCAGGACGGTACCGTTGTAGCACACATTAACATTTTCATGGGGTCTTTTGGTAATAGCGGGCAAACACTGAGGAATGCCCAAGTGGCCCATATACGGGGGTGGCATGGGGGTAGAGACCACTTGGATTGAGGCAGGGGATCCAGGGCTGTGGCAGCTACAGACTCCCTGCTGAGCAGAGGACTGCTTAGAAATCTTTATCTGCTTCTAGGGGTAACAAACACAGGATAAGACGCTTAGTCTCCCAAAGAAAAAAAACGGTGTTGAGGCCAGTGAGATGGTGCAGGAGGCAAAGGCACTTGCCACCGAGCCTGACGACCTGAGTTCGATCCCTAACAGCAGAAGCAAAGACCTGACCCCTGCAAGCTGCCCCTGACCTTCCCATGAAACAAGCATGCCGACCCACATGCGCACACACACACACACACACACACACACACACACACACACACACCTTTAATATCAACACTAGGAAAAAAGAGGCATGCAGAGTCTACATAGTGAGACCCTGTCACAAAAAGGAAAACAAAAGACAAGGATCTAAATTCTCATACTTAACACACGCTCCATCACAGCACGGTGGACACCCAGGATTCGGATAGCTACTTACATGGTTTTTCTACTTTATACCACGATAAACTTGTCTGGCACTCTGGATGGAGCCCAGCTTGATCTCAACTGTCCCTAACTGTGGGGCGTCTAAATGAATGCGTACATCCTCCTCTCCCTCCGCCAGCCTCTCCCTCTGTCATAACAGCAGAGGGCAGGAGGGGGCAGCAGGCGTGAGGAGGCCTGCTTCACGGCTTGCCACCTTGACATGAAGGGCTGACAAAGTTCCTCCCGATCCTTAGTCTCTAGTGAGGGCTGACCAACTTGGGCCTATGGGCCCAGTCTGCTCCCTGTCCCTGTGTGGCCAGCTATTTAAGAGGGTATTTAACACTGGGGGGTGGGCACAGAAAACTCAATAGTTCTTTTTTCCCTATATATGAGTGTTTTGCCAGGATTTATATCTGTGCACCGCATGCATGCCTGGTGCCCAAGAAGCTCC